TTTCAATGAATATAACAAGATTAAATATACTTTACGACCCCATGGATATGCAAGGAACTCATCAAAATGCTTAACCATACCAATAGTTCTATAATCAATTTGTCTTGAAGTGGGTGTCAACACACATTCGACCAACATGACTAAACCAAGCTTCAATTTATCTTCTTTATGTTCGCACGCATGGAATGCTTCAAAAAGCATCCTCATATTGATACGATATGTACCATTAAAGTATTGATTTCTAAGACGATCATTTGTATCATTAATGTCCATGGATGGTTCATGGCAAGGTAATTCAGTAATAAGACAAAATTCTTGCATACCAAATCTGGCTACACGATTGTCTAACCTTACCCAAAATTCATCATTTTTCCCACAATTCACAAGCCTCAATATAAATTCATGCACCAACCTACTACTAAATTGTACATTTTTTTCTTTGTAGAAAGCTCCATAAAGAAATCCATAAAAATTAATGCACATCAACGAAAATTGCTCATTTGAATCTAGAAATTGTACAAAGTCTCTAAGATATTCGAAATTTGGATACTGGACAATTATAGCAGAAAACCATTGATCTGGAAAAATTATGTATTCTAAAGACATCTGCATAAATTATTCCAAAAATCACATCGTATTTATGAATGAATCTAAAAATTAAAAATAGAGAAACTTTTTTTAAGAGTTCCAAATAAACATTATATCTTCATAACCAATACGTGCATAAATATTTTAAAATCGATGATAAAATTTCTTATGTTCGTGTCTAGACAATTCATGACATAAAATTCGTGACATAAAATTATGCCTTGCCTTGGCCTTGTCTCCGTGATTATGGAGGTCAAGCCTCCGGATTACGGAGGCCAGCAGCTTGGCCTCCGTAACACGAACATAATGGAGGCTTGGGTCTCCATAATCACGGAGTTCTTATGGATAAAATTGTTGCTCATACATAGATCTGTATAGATATATGCAAGTTTCTTCGATTGTAAATTTTTAAGTAAAATTGTTACTTTTTCTGGCCAATTTCAGAGCTTCTCCTATTTAAATCTGCGGGGAGTTTCTCTTGAAAATGTATAGATTTCTAGACTAAAAATATAATAAATAAGTTTTATACCAACCACAAGATAAAAAGATGTCACATGTGAGCTGTATATTATTGTTGTTTTATGCATTTCGTCAACAATCAATGAAGTATTTTTGTTGTATTATGCAATTCAAATTATTCACACATTTTATAGAATCTTAAATCTACGTCTTTGTTTGAATTCTTTAATTTCATACACAAAATCATACATCAACATATTCACGTGTATTTAGATATTTATTACAATTCAATTTATTTAAGCTAAATAAATAATTGAATTAAATTTTCCTTTCATTACAATGAAAGTTTGTAATATGAATACTTTTTCCTCGGTGAATACAACTTAATTTAATTCAGAGTCATTCTTGTACCATGTTTAAACCTTTGTCAGCCCATATCTATGTTCAGTTATTATGAATCAATAGAGTATGTGTATGATAAGATTTTACCGTGTAAATCTTGATCTTTTTTCATTTTGAATCCAAATTTTGACGTCCTTTTATTATATTTATGATAGGGAGAACGAATAAAATATAGTTTTACATATTTTACTCAAAGTGTAAATCCTTGAACTCACGTTATTTTTGTACTATCAGTAAATAAATATTACAAGTAATCTCCATATCTCATGCAGACAACAAGTTATGACAGTATATGGCTAATAATAAGATTTTACGTAGTACATACTTGTATTACTTTTTATAAAAAAATAAAATTAAGAATAGAAGATAAAGTACGGGAAACCAAATATAATATAATTTTACATGTCTATATATATCTTCTTTTATTTGTCAATTGAATAGCTCAAAATCATTTGCGATAGAAATCTTCTTTTGTGTGTATTTTGTCTCTATTATTCTGTTACGAAATCGCCACGATGAAAGAACCGTACCAACTTCTACCAAAAATTATTTTCAATAATCAAAAGTGGAAAGCTAAAGATTGTAGTTGAAAAACAATCACCAAAGCCTTCGAGACAAGACAATGGAAGGTACCAGCATTCGATGTTAATGGATACTCAGGTAATTCTTCTTCGTACATTTTTTCATCATTTCTTTTTGTTTTTTGTTTTGTTTTTTTCTTAATCTAAACATATATTACAGTTATTTATATAGTTCCTCATCATTTTTTAGGGTAATACTATTCGGGCTAGTTTATATGATTCCAATATCACTGCTTTTGAGGATCAACTTGTTCTGGAAAAAACTTATACTATTTCGAAAGCTTATGTGAAGAACAATACGACAAACTACAGATATTCGACTGGCTCTCTACAATGGACAATACTTGGAGAAACTCGTATTGAAAAACTGAATGAAGATAATCTAGAGTTTTTATTCTCAACATATCAACTGACACAGTTTCATGAACTTGAACAATACATTGATACAGATGCTGATTGAAGTAAGACAAAATTTCATAGATATTAAATAATCATATACTGATTCTACAGAAATATAGTTTCCTTCAAATTTGTACTGCTTATGTTTAGAAAAGGAAAATTTGATGGCTCATTTCAAATTTGGAGATATACTTGCAGTTGCAGTTGATATGACACCCAAACGATTGATTCAATCCAAAGATGGCAACCAAACTTGGTTGCAAGATATCATACTTCTAGACATGAATTTCAAAACAATGGTGCTTACACTTTAGGATTCATTTGTTGACAGAGAATGCTTACTGATAGCAGATATTATTGACAAAAAGTCAGTCATCTTTACAACCCGTCTAAAGGTTACGTCATTCTTTGGTATGTTCTATTGTATTATTTAAACTCCTCTTAAGGCATATATTACATCATTTACACATTCTCCATATTGATATTATATAGGTTTAAAATTGTCCACGAAAGTTCGTTCCACTCTCTTCATAAATACACCTTTCAATGCAGTAAAACAAATAACAGAATGGTATGTATAAAGTGCTATATTTTATTATTCTTTTTTTCCCCTCTCGATTATTTTTCCACACATTACTATTGGAGTTACTAATTATCTTCATGTCTTTTGATTACGGTAAGAACAAATTCCATTAAAATAGATGATTTTGTATTGAAAAAATCATACATGGATAAAAGCCCCACAAATCTTTCCCCACCTGTGCGAAGTAAATTCACTCCTATTCAAAATTTTCAGGGATGCCTTCTAACAGTAATATTAAGGTTACGTATGCTATTCAATATGTATTTATTTCCTAATATAGAGATATATATTACAAGATATACTCAATCATATTATTTATTTTTCCTTGTAATTTCTCTAAGTATTTTTTTTTTTTTTGTAATTTCTCTAAGTATATCTACACTGGTAACATCAAAAGTTTTATTGGGTAAACGGCACAGCAACAACAAACAAAATTGATAGCAAATCTTGGTACATGGCCTGCAACAACTATTTTAGACGATAAAAATATTTATTTTGGAGAAACATATCTTTGTATTTTTTGCAAGAATCTCAATTCCAAAGCTATTTCTCGATAAAATACACTAACAATTAATTACTTTTTATTTTTTACTTCATTTGGTGAAGGTAAAATATTTATTTATGCATGACATTTCTACTTCTCTGTATTACTCTTGTATCTATTAATACTAATTTCTTTTTCACTTTAGGGCTAGAGCATATGTGTAGCTTTCAGATGTCACGGGATCAATCAGTGCAAATGCAATTGGTGAACCAGCTGAGAAACTATTATTTACAACTTTACAGTCTTTGATGGAGGAAACCAAATTTGTAAGAAATCCAACTTATCTAAAACATTTTGCCATTCAGTACATATTTTAGTAGAATAATATTAATACAATTTAAAATTAAGATAGGGTTCAAAGACAAATTTCGAAGCAACCATTAAAAAAATGCAAGATACTGAACGAGCTTTCTACTTAAAAGTGTCGTAAAATGAACCTAATTCATCAAGTTATAGATTTGATATCATCTCTGTAACAGACTTAGATCATCCAAATCCAAGACAAGAAATCCAAGCAAATATTGATCATACAAGTCTTGAACCAAAAATCCAAACAAATGTTGATAGTCGGGTTGTGGTTACAGTAGTTGGGAAAAATGTTGGAAAAAATGTTAGTACAGACTATCAAGAAGATTGGTCACCTCCAGCAAAAAAAGCTTTCTTCAAATCTTCCAATGAGAGTTCCAGCTCAAAAGTGGCTTGTGATGAAAACATAAGTTCAGACACAAATCCATTTGCTCACAAAGAAAAACTGGAGTAAATGGTAGTCGAAATATTTTTCATAAAACCAACCTTTTGGGAAGAGTATGTTGTGTGGTTTTGTGAAATTTTTGCTATTTCGTTTTGTGAAATTTGTCTTCATTGTAATTTTAATCTTGAAATTCTATGTATAATTTCTTGATCAAAAGCTGTCAAACAAAAAAAGTAATGACAAACGATGTATATGTAATCCCTACATCATCTATCTCGAAAATCAGTCATTATTTATTTTATCTTGGCTATACTCTGTAATTAACGATGGTAATGAAGGTAATTTTTATTCTCTCTTATCTATCATTGACCGTAATACAAATACATGATTAGCTACGATGAATTCACAATTTACAAATCACAATCAAACACATAAATATGTATACTAATATCTCAATTATTTGCTGGTTAGTTCTTTGCCAATAATTCTATCTTCCGATATATTTTCAAACATATTCAATACATATGCTAACCAAATCATAATTCATGCACAACTCGTGCATCGCACGTAACATAGACTAGTAATTAATAAAAGTGAGATCTCTTTTCAAATCTGCATCAAACAAATTCAGATTTTAGATCAACTAACTAAGGTAACGGATGATACTAGAAACAAATATAAAATACAATATATATTTTTCTTCCTCAATCTTTCCAAATTAAAGTCCATATAATCTCTCTCTCTCTCTCTCTCTCTCTCTCTCTCTTCTCTCCTATATACGCGTTCTGTTCTTCAGCTAATCGCAGTAATGGAAGGTGAAGAAAATATCCAACTCCTATTCAAACATCTTCCACGAGAAAACAATGATGAATTGGCAGAAGGAATTAAAAATATCACTGGGTATGATTTCAAAGATAAAAATTTATTACTGCAAGCCTTTACCCATCATTCTTACGAGGAAAATTGCACATCATCGTACGAGAGGCTTGAATACGTCGGTGATTCTGTTCTGAATCTCATGGTTGCTGAAGAACACTACCTTTCGTACCCGGGTTTACAACCTGGCGATTTGACCCGATTACGAGCTGCCAATGTTGACACGGAGAAGCTTGCACGTGCGGCTTTGAAACACCGGTTGCACAGATTTCTACGCCATAATAAACCTATACTTGCTGGACAAGTAACTGGACATTAATTATTATCTGTTTTTGAATGCGTTGATTTATTATTTACATTATTTGAAAATAAATTTTGGTGCCACAGATTAAGGAATTTGAGGAATCAGTCGTCGAATATCCTTTGCATTCGTGGGGTCTAATTGATGCGCCAAAAGCTCTTGCAGACATTGTTGAATCTTTGATCGGGGCAATATACATCGACTCCAACAGGTCAATGAACATAACCTTTGAGGTATAACTCGACAAATATTTAAATGTTTAATTCCTTTTAATATGAAAAACACTGCAAATGTATTTTATGTGTAATTTAATTTTTTGTCTTGCTGACCTGAGAATTTTCATATTCTCTTGAGTAATCTAAAACCTTCATGTTATCTTGTGCTGGTATTGAGGATCGGGGTTTCACCTTAAAAGTTCCACCTTGTTACGGTAGCTTAAACTGTAGATGTAGATGTTGATTGTTCTTTTCGTATTTATGCCACGGCCAACGTGGAATTTTATCATTAATAGATTAAACTAAGCCCCTGTTTAACGATCATCATTTAGGAAAATGAAGTTTTAAGTAGTGATTTTTAGGAGAAATATATGGTTAAAAATAAGAAAAAGTTTTGAGTTTACGTGCAGAATTTTTTTTATAATGTGTAATTGAAAATGACTATGTGGAAATAGAGTTTGAAGATAATGATTATCAAACAAGGGTTAAGTTTGATGCTTCATCAAAACAAGTTGAATTAGGGGTGGAACCAACACCCGACGAGCCATGATGGCTACCCATGCTGGCTCGGCCAGAGAATTTGGTTTCACCATGACATATTATTCTTATCAAGTATAGCTTTTTGTGTTGAGGGCAGATAGCGAAGGAATTGTTACAGCCAGAAATCACTCCAGAATCTATTCAGAAGCATCCAGTAACAATGCTTTATGAGATATGCCAAAAGAAGAACTGGGAAGTTAGCATAAGAGATATTTGGAGAAAAACTGGTGAAGTTGAAGTTTATGTAGATGGAAAATTTGCTGGGAGGGGAAAGTACGAAGGCAAGAAACTTATTGCCGTCAATAGAGCAGCACACGAGGCAAACCAGCATATTGTAAGAGAACTTGCTCAAGAAAGTCCACAGTCCGTAGCCTCCCCAAGTTGCCATCGCTAGACAACGAACTGTCGAGTTCAGGGAAGAAATTTTGTTAAGATTCTCGACTTAGCAATTGAATTTAATATTTTACGACATTTACTACAAGTCCAGATAACATATTGTATTTTACTCGACTGCTACATTCATCTTCATTAAACAGGTGGAGTCCTTTTGTACTTTAAATTGAATATTTATATACATAAAACATGTATTTTGCTATATCGTGCTAGTTAAATCTTGTATTTGATCTTTCCTTCCCAGTAAGAACTCTTTACTTTGAAAAATTTTCCACATATAAAATTTATTTTTTTACAAGAAAAAATGAAGTTGGGTTGGCCACCTACATCTGCCCTTGGGAATAAGGGTTACAGAAGTTAATTTATGCTTACAAAATGACAGCAGAACTTAACGTACGAAATAGAATGAAATGGACAATTTGCATAATGAAAAGTTGATAAGAGACCGTAAATATCACAAAATATAGTGATATTTTGTGCCGATTACTCCAGTTAAAATGCAAAAAAGAAAACTCCGATATGAACTAACATGCTTTCCATGAAAATTTTAAACAATTCCTGAAAAAATTCAAATTAGCCTTCTCATAAAATTCCTCAATTGTACCTTCTAATATTTTCTTTGCTCAACTCTTCTGCAAAATTGAGTCGAGAGAAATTCAATGCCGATCCAAAAAATCTACAGGGCAAAAACAACAAAACCCAGATCTCCAATACGCATAATCGTATCCCCCATTGCTTGCATTGCGTTATTGTACCTTGCTTCATCTGTAGTTTCACAATTGGGTTTTCTTTTCACTCTCCAAGAAGTCTAAAGAACTTGGCAAAGAACCCGAAGAATCATCGAACTGGGCACGAGAAATACTTATATTGGGGGAGTAAAATTGACTGCCCTGGAAAACACTGTGAGTCCTGCGAGGGTCTGGGCCGCCAAGAGTCCAGCCTTAGGTGTGCCCTTGAAGAAGCTTTGTTTCTTGAAAGGTACATTTTCTAAATCTTGAATCTTTGTATGGATTGAATATTGGATCCCGATGGTTCTATGATTTATCTACTTTTTACATTGGAATTGTTAGAATTAGAATTAGGCTTGGAACAAAAAATGGAAAAACCGATTGATTTTCTTTTAAACAAAATTATGTTGGGTTTGAATTTTCGATCATTGGTTAACCGAACCAGCCAACCCACCTACTTGTTTACCTCTCTCTCTCTATATATATTTTTTTGAAGTTAAGAAAAATAAAAAACAAAAGATAAACTTTAATCTCATGATTCCCTCCAATCTATGATAATGCTTTAAATAATAGTACTGAAAATTTTCTTTTACAAGATTATTATGTTGTACTTAGCATTTTTATTTTTTTCATATTTAGGCGGTTAGACTACATAAATACATAAAAAAATAAATAAATAAGTTTTCTGTTGATCCATCTTTATTAAATTGATTTTATTTGTTAGTCATTAGTTCTTAAAATAAAAATTATTTGGTTATTTTAACTCTTGCAATTTAAGTGAGTCTAAATTCTTTTAAAAAATTTAATTTGGACTAAAAGTCCAAACCGATTTCGATTTAAGAGTTATAGGGAATTGATCTGAGTTGAAATTTACCCAAACCGGCTAATTTGATTTTGGTTTCAAATTGGTATCGAAACCAACCCAAATCAACCGGGCCCAGACCTAGTTAGAGTATCTGATTTTGACAGTAATGGTGGCTAATTTGAGAGCATCAATCTTGTAATTTTAACTGTATAGATTGCCCGTTTCAGCTTTTTATGCTATGATACAATGTTGAGTCTTGGGATTCCATCCAAAAAGTTCAACATGGGCTGCCCATATGTGTGTTTGATTATTGTTTTCATATTTAAGCTACATGACATATGAACCTTAACAGGCAGAAATCACCAGGTTTAGTTTATTGCTAGTTCTTTGAAAGTTTGGGTTCACACGGAATCTACCTCTCTGTGGTTTCTGATAACTAGTGTTTTTTCTTTTGGTGTTTGGTGAATGGAAATATGCTTTCTTCTTAAATAATGTTTTTACTTTTTGATTGTTAAAGTAATAAGAATCTTTTGAACAACTAGATTGATAATTGAATCAAAACTTAGTGACGTCCATTTTGATGTCTACAAAATTTGGAAATTGTTTGTTCGAATGATATAAATTGTTGATTTTAGATGTTGTCTTTTAGGGAATAATTTTTCTTGCCTTGTGGTGATGCAAGAGCTCTTCTGCTACTCCATTCAATGAAAATAATCTGTATTTCAGATCCAATTTTCCGAAGGATCACTTATAATTTAGGAAACCGATCACACAAATAAAAAAAAAATGTGGCCTTTTGCAATTTATTTCATCTTTAGCAACGGATTAACAATAATCTCAAAGAGGTTACTTTATTCCAGCAATTCGGTTAATGAGATCTGTTTTTGGAGCAGGACGAAAATGCTTACAGATACGCCTTAAGATCATAAGCCGTCACATGTATAAAACATCCCCTTTACTGTCGTTATTTACTTGGGTTTTATGTTGCTTAAGTGCCTCGATTTCTCCTTTTGCAGTCTGAACATGCTCCTTATGTTATTTTTACATAACAGTCGCCCTTAAAATTTTCTCCTCCTGTTATAGGACTTTTGTGATGCCTTCTAGGATGTGCATAAATCCAATCCACAATAAGAAAGGGATTCTTCATTCATCTGGAAGTATGATTTCAGAGGAAAGGTCAGTTTTCACTTCGTTGCTCACTACAGAGAGTTTATTGCTTTTCGCCAGTTGGATCCTACCACCGCCAAGATAACACCGCCCTATATCCCACATTCACCGTTTTGGAATTTTAGGTCGTACAATTTACAATAGTTTGGGACCACATCTTACTCTTTTTGCTGGTTGTTCTACTTATGTTTTGTATGCTGGATCATTCCTTTACTATAATCAATTACCATCACCAGGCTTTTGCCATAATTGCTGGCGCCTTGCTCGGAATTTGTGCCGAAATTTTGTGGGCGGCGCAGGGTGCGATCATGACCTCATACCCACCACATGATCGAAAAAGGACATACATTTCCATCTTCTGGAGTATTTTCAATATGGGGGGTGTCATAGGTGTTAGATTTGTGACTCTCAATTGGATTGGGAGTCTTTGATTGCGTGTTGGAATTAAAATTGCAAAAGGAATCAAAGTGGCAGACAAAAGGAAAGGAATAAATTGGTATCCAAATCCGAGTGAAATTAAGGAAAGAAATATTATTTTAGGTCGTACAATTTACAATAGTTTGGGACCACATCTTACTCTTTTTGCTGGTTGTTCTACTTATGTTTTGTATGCTGGATCATTCCTTTACTATAATCAATTACCATCACCAGGCTTTTGCCATAATTGCTGGCGCCTTGCTCGGAATTTGTGCCGAAATTTTGTGGGCGGCGCAGGGTGCGATCATGACCTCATACCCACCACATGATCGAAAAAGGACCTACATTTCCATCTTCTGGAGTATTTTCAATATGGGGGGTGTCATAGGTGTTAGATTTGTGACTCTCAATTGGATTGGGAGTCTTTGATTGCGTGTTGGAATTAAAATTGCAAAAGGAATCAAAGTGGCAGACAAAAGGAAAGGAATAAATTGGTATCCAAATCCGAGTGAAATTAAGGAAAGAAATATTATGGGAGTGGAAAGATCAAACTACATCCAGTTGGAACGAAATTGAACAATATCACGCTGCCTCTTTTTCTCCTTTTTTTTCACGTTTAACCTATAATTTCTACCTTTTTAGGACCCTTTTAGCGCTAGACTCGTGTGGTATAAATATGAGTCTCCTCTTTTAGTATTGTTGAAGCCAATTGCTATAATTCTCTCATTTCATAATGATTGAATAAAATAACATCGTTCCTTTGTTAGTTCCTTTTTATTTTGCATCTTTTACTTTAATCTTGTTCTTGGTTATTTTGTGATCTTTATTTATACTTCACATTGGGTTCATCAATCTCAATTCTTACGTTGTCTTCATCGGTCCCAACAAGTGGTATCAGAGTAAGGTTGCAAGTTTTTCGTGATTTGATTAAGGTTTTCAGAGATGGCTTCGATGAAGTATGATATTTCGCTGCTGAATCGCAATACAAGGTTTTCGCTAGGGCAAGTAAAGATGAGGGCTGTGTTGACACAGATGGAACTTGATGATGCTTTGCTGGGTTTTGAGAAGATGCCAGCAAATTGGTCTACGGAAAAGAAGCAACGAAAGGATAGGAAGGCTACATCATCGATTCATCTTCATTTGTCCAACAATATACTGCAGGATGTCTTGAAGGAGAAGACAACGGTTGATTTGTGGCTCAAGCTGGAGCAGTTGCTCATGACAAAGAGTCTGACTAGCAAATTGGCTCTAAAGTAGAAGTTGTATTCCCATCGCATGGCGGAAGGAGGATCACTGCAGGACCATCTTGCTGTGTTCAAGGAGATCGTTGCAGATTTGGAGACGTTGGAGGTAAAGTATGATGAAGAGGATCTGGCCTTGATCCTGTTATGTTCGCTACCCAATTCTTTTTCGTCATTTTGTGATACTATATTGTATAGTCGTGACATGTTGTCCATTGAGGAGGTATACGACGCCCTGTTCTCAAAGGAGAAGATGGAGTTGTTGGTTGGAGATCCTACATCTAGAGGTGAGGATGCTCTTGTTACTCATTGTGATCGACGGAGGGGTAGATCAAAGGTGAGGTACAGCAATGTGTATTGTTATTACTGCAAGAAGAAAAGACACATCAAGAAAGATTGCGACAAATTGCAGGGTAAAGGTAATTTACATGCAAATCATTCGGGGTAATCTTGTAATTCGGACAAAACCAATGTAGTTGAAAATTTTTCTGATGATAGAGATGTGATGTTGGCTATATCTTATGGGAAATCCAAACCTGAGGAGTGGATTTTGGATTCTGCATGTTCTTATCATATGTGTCCTAATAGGGCGTTATTCCAGACATATGAGGCGGTGAAGTAAGGTGGAGTTGTCATGGGAAACAATCAATCTTGCCAAGTTGCAGGAATCGATCGGGTCAGATCAAGGCTACAAGATGGGACAATGAGGACACTTGATCAGGTTCGCCATGTTCCAGACTTGACAAAGAATCTCATATCATTGAGTATCCTGAATGCAAAATGGAACCTGAAGGTTCAGAAAGGTGTTCGGGTTGTACTGGAGGGACGGATGAGATCCCAGTTGTACATTTTGTAGGGAAGCGCAGAACTAGTTCAGAGACATTTGGACAAGTTTAGTACCTTGGTGGAAATTCAGTTTGGTACATTACCTCTTGTGTTAGGCTCTGGGTCAGCTTCAAACTTTGCTCGTGGAAGTGTTGGTGATTCTGCTTTGCCACCAATTTGAGCAAATACATTTTGTTCTTGTGCTAGTGGACTCATAGAGCGTAGGTTTAGTGGTGTCAATAATGTCTGTAATGCCTTAGGGATCGTTGAAGGTGACGGTTCTAGCAAGGGGCCTTCTGATCGCGCATTTGGTGTGGTTTCCGCTACAGAGTGTGCTTCGACCTTGTCTAGTGAATATTAATTCCTTGGTGTGTCGCTTGTGGATGCCGGACGGAGGAACATGTTTTCGTGGAGAGTTTAGTATTGTGTTGATGAGCTTGGTTATTCTGATGCAGACGAATTTATTTCTCAAGGTGGAGAAATTTTGGAGCTTTGTTCGTTGCACCAGAATTTCGAGTCAAGGTGGAGATTGTTACATTTGTGACTCTCAATTGGATTGGGAGTCTTTGATTGCGTGTTGGAATTAAAATTGCAAAAGGAATCAAAGTGGCATATCCAAATCCGAGTGAAATTAAGGAAAGAAATATTATTGGAGTGGAAAGATCAAACTGCATCCAATTGGAACGAAATTGAACGGAATCATTCCGCCTCTTTTTCTCCTTTTTTTTCACATTTAATCTAGAATTTCTACCTTTTTAGGACTCTTTTAGCGCTAGACTCGTGTGGTATAAATATGAGTTTCCTCTTTCAGTATTGTTGAAGCCAATTGCTATAATTCTATCCTTTCATAGTGATTGAATAAAATAACTTCGTTCCTCTACCAGTTCCCTTTTATTTTGCATCTTTTACTTTAATCTTGTTCTTGATTATTTTGTGATCTTTATTTATACTTCATATTTGGTTCATCAAATCTCAATTCTTGCGTTGTCTTCATAGGTCCCAGCAATAGGTGGTTTAATTACTTTCATATTGAATTATCATAGGGTTGATGCTGTTTCAGTGAATGATGGTGTCATGAAATTAAGAATTAGAATCTTGCTTTTGCTTTTTTGATCCATTGCATGGAAAGAAAATAGGTATGCAAATTTGATGTTTTCCATGTTACTTCTCGAACTTGAAAACTACAGACATAATTGTATTTACAGAATTTAATATTACCATGCTGCCAAATGAAAGTGATCTAGGACATGAATAGTCTTTCTGAAAATTGAGCTTTTTGATAGTAATTCAGTATTGGAACCCTTATAATTAAGATAGTCTAATAGGAAAGGAAATAGTTGTCAATACAATTAAAAAGATTCATGTCTTAAGATTTCCACTCCCCATTTCAGTTCTCATCTAGTGCTTAGTTGAATATAGCTGCAAATGAGCGTTGCTTACTGCCCTTTGTGAATGCTTGAATTTTATTTTTTAGGTGGGCAGCTAACTCTTGTGCTATGGATTCTTTGTACGATCTGGACCTAATATCCAACGCAGTACCTGTAATTTTGGATAATTCAAAGCAGTGGCATCACGTCCTTTCAACTAGCATGAAATTGGGATCCAGAGGGGTAGCACACGTACAAGGGGTCAGCCGGGCCGATCTCAAAGAGAAGAGTTTGTACTCAAATATTTTACTCATAAATCGAACTGCGAGCCCTCTATCATGGCAAGTATACTAAGTTGTAGTTTCTCTACTTTCTTTTCTTCTTTTTCTGCCTTCTCGCCCTAACTTTCCCTTGCCTACCCTGTACTTAAAACTATTTTAGAAGATTTAAATTATGCATATTTCTAGGGTTGAAGCTTTCAGCTTAGTTATCCGAAGATTTGATATGACCAATTTACTCCATTTTTCAGTTCTGAGGTATTATCATTTTGATAATACTAAGATAGTGTTCCATTTCATTGACCTAATTTGTATTGGTTTTGCCTGGTTACATATTTCAATATTGAAGTTTCTTATGAAGTGTATAATCAATTTAAGTTTTGAATCTTGATAGCTTTTGTGTAGGTATTAACTTCGATAACATCCAGGTTCATGGAGTGCAAGGATCGAAACAACCGCAGTTCTATCATGTTGCCTTATTCATTTCTTCCTTCAATGGCTACAAAGAAGCTACGTGATGCAGCAGAAAAGGTAGTTAACTGCATTTAGTTAAGTTTCTGTTTGCCAGTTACCAGTGAGTTTTAGAAACTTTTAGTTTTCAGCCTGAACAATGGAATAAATCACAAAATTCGGATGAACAAGAAATGAAAGGGAAACTTTAAGCGTGTTGGGACATATAGGGAGGAAAGACCAATATTCTAAGCCTTTGAATAGGGGAAAAAAAAAAAAAGAAAAAAAAAATGAGGAACGATAAGGAAACAGGAAACTAAGTGTGAGAAGGAAAACTAAAAAAAAAAATTGTGAGAAAAAATTCAGTCAAGTTCTAATACTTAGACTCTTTGAAATGGTTGCATTATTCGTGTCGAACACGACACAATATGGGTGTGGGTATAAGATATGTGTCGGTTGCTCTAAGTTTTAATTGGATACTTCGTCGTTTTTGCATTTTTTTCTGCTCTCTATTAATCTAACGCCGCCTTCGAGAGGGTGGAGAAAGGAGACGTCGCGCCATATGGCTTGTATCTATCTGTATGACCATCGTAGTATGCACGCCTTATGAAGGTGTCTTCATTCTTGTTTGGGATGTGGATTGGCCAATTAGAAGCATCGTAGTATTTCATACAAAAGATGCTTAAAGCAAGTGAGGAAAGGGTGATTTTGCTTTCTATGTCCACCCTTATCCAACTCTTTGACTCGATCAAGTTATCTTTCTTGCTTTTGAGTTAGCTAATGGTAGGAAGAAGCAGAGAAGATCCCATGTTAGAGGGACTACTAGCCTTCTAAAAAGACCATCTCTATATTGCAATGAAAAAAAACCTCATGCGTATCTAAGCTCTTGCAAGTGCCTTCCCTTCCCTTCTTTCTGTTGTAGTAACCTTAGCTATTTCATTCGACGCTACTACTTAAGTATGAGTTGCCGTTGCAAATCTCAAGTGTTGCAAAAGACTGGGATGGGAAACAAAACGGAATGTACCGGATTTTTAGCACGTACAATCATCAAACTAGAGACCCAAGGAGGGCTCGACAAAACAGAAAATATCACGTTGCTCTATTTTGGGCCTCATTTTCGTGAAACTATTCCTCAAGCAAGGCAGCCGATAATTCATCGAAGGGTTTGTGTGAATAATAGAATGGTAAACATTACTCATTTTATGTCCCACGGTGATATGAGGGATAAAGATGTTCTTTTATACTGTGTTGTGACATATTAGAAAATCTTAGGATAGAGAATAACCTACACAGGAAAAGCTGTACTCAAAGTGAATTGTCTAGTGTTCTCCTTTGTCTCATTGTCTATCTCGTAATCATTCGATTCCGCCTCTACAAAGGCTAGCTCGTACTCCTCCTCCTTCTCTTCCTTCATCATCGTGTCTGAATACTGTTCCCTAATTGACGTTCCTTTCTCTGGACCGAGTTTCCTCCGGTACCATTGATTTATCCATACCATAATAGATGAGGTCATATTTTGGTACATTCTAGAATCCTTGTACCTAGGTCTCAGGTTGCCTCATAATAGGTACTGCAAACAGCCGTGTTGGTTGGTTAGACGATCATGCAAGTAGAGGATCGGGGAGTGAACAAGAGGGTAAAACAAAAAATATTTAGTACAAGGAAGAAGTTTTCAAAATTTTGCATAATATAAAAGTAAGATTACCATTAAGCGAAAAAGAATTAGTTGATATCCAAAGTGGTTGAGGACCTTACTATGTCGTTCGATCACCATTGAGCCTTTCCTTTCTTCTTTCTCCTTTCTATGTAGATGGATTGATTGCGGGTTTCTCCAACTTGATTCTCATCCCATTTCCTCCGGCACAGAAATGAAAGGGGTGGGCAAAATTACATGAGAGAAAGAACCTCTTGGTGGAGTCCAGTCCCCCAAAAAGTGCTACTTAGTGACTAGGGGCCTTTTTAACCCCTTCTTACCCTCTCTATACTGGTGGCTTAGGCTTTTGTTAGTATAAAATGAAAATGAGTTCCATATGGTACTATTGAGCTCTTCACTAAATCCAAATTGCAATCAAGTCCCTCATTTTATATTTTATATAACATTTGGTAATTAACCTCCCATAATTAAAAACTAAACTCCAAAATTCCATTTTATTAGTCTTATCAATACTCATTGCCTTCTATGTGAACAATTGTTTTTGGCCTAATCAAAATGACATCCCGGCTTAGTAAAAAAATTGAAGCTTGAAAGACGTATCCACGTACCCTTGTTCGAAATATGGATTCTTTTCAGCCATGTTCCCGTATCCTACCTTTTAGAAAATAAAAGTTCGACGCTTAGATACTTACTCTTACGTAATACCAGTGCTTGAGGAAAGAATTGAAGGAATAATTTCTTGAATTGTGTTCAGCTTCATTGTCCTTTTGAATTTATTTGCTTTATAATAGAATTATTTTTCATAAAGATGTGATCCATGTGAAACATGTGTTCTTTTCTGCTAAGCAATCAGTTATGAGCATTCATTTCAACAGATCAAGGCGCTTCTTGGTGATTATTATGCTATCCATGTTCGTCGAGGTGATAAACTGAAAACTAGGAAGGACAGATTTGGGGTTGATCGGAGCTTACATCCTCATCTAGACAGGGATACACACCCCGAGTTCATTCTTTGTAGAATTGCAAAATGGGTTCCCCCTGGACGAACCCTTTTTATTGCCTCTAATGAAAGGAAGCCAGAATTTTTTTCACCTCTGGCTGTGAGGTATGTCATTTTTGTGTGATTCTTGGATATTGGTGCTCTTGCTGTGTTTATGTTATAGTAGTATACAGTAATACTTATTTGTCATGAAGGATTATTTGACTTTAACAATAGTTTCTTTGGTCCGGTATTGTAGAATATTTTATCATCTGCTCTAGAGCTATTGTTTCTGTTAACCATCCTCTGTCCTTTTAGTGCCCGTTTGCTATGCAGTAATAGACAAGATTAGATAGCATAATAAGATTTCAGCTTATTTTACTTCCTTAATAATGTCTTGTCCACCTTACCGAACATTTGTTTGAAAGCTGAATTATCATTCTTGTTGAAAATTGTGATTTTATGCTGGAAACTATCTTCTTAATTACCATTCATTGTCATTTCTGATGGATCGTGCTTTACATTCTTAATTATATAAATTCATCCTTTTTTCTTTTGATGACTTTGACACGTGTGAAGCCTTTGATAGAAATTGCCCTGAACCTGACACACGGTGATATAAGATTGTGTACGGATATGGTGGTATCACATGTTTCATTTGGGACTTATGTTATAAGACTTTTAGGATACCAGCATGGAGCAATTTTTCCATTAATAAGTTTAATTATAATAAAAATCCAGTATCTCCTGGGAATTGGTTGTATTTCATGGGGGCTGAAGTTGTTTCCTTGTGTAAATAAGTTTTAGAACAAATAATATATTAATGATCAATTAATAAGTTACTTGTTTCGACATGAAACTAAGAGTTACTTTCAATATGATTGCTGCTCGAGTTCTATGACCTCCTGGTTTCTTAGTTTTGTTCTGTTGTTCTTGGATATGAACTATTCTATATTTTTGTTAATTTCATCGTTTTTGCTGCGACATTATATGCAGGTACAGATTGGCATATTCTTCAAATTATAGCAGTCTTTTGGATCCATTAGTTGAGAACAATTATCAACTATTCATGGTTGAAAGGCTTATAATGATGGGTTCCGAAACGTTTATTAGGACATTTAAAGAAGACGATACAGATCTCAGCCTCACTGATGATCCAAAAAAGAACACCAAGGCATGGCAGATACCAGTTTATACCAATGATGGAGAGTAATGTTAATCTCTTAGTTCTCTTAATACAGCTAGTGCTAGTTACCAATGATGGATAGTAATGTTAATCTCTTAGTTCTCTTAATACAGCTAGTGCTAGTTATCTATAGATAGGACTGGACACTAATTTTGAATTTGGCTTGTTTCTCTTTCTTATTATTGTCTAGTGCTATCTAATTGCAGATTCTCATATATTGATCGTCTCTTGTTCGAGGGACTATTGCATCAAAAATGGGGATTCTATTGCTTTTTGTGTGTGTGTAAACTTCCAGGTGAGAGATGTTGAAAAGCTTCAATTTGTTACATAATTTAATCATTAGCCATGTAATGAAAATTGATTTTCAATGATTTTGTTGGTGGTGGTGTAGCAAAGTCATGTTTATTCTGGACCAAACACACCCTAATTGAAAATTTTATAATTTTGAAATTTAGCCCCGTTTTGGCCCCCTTTATAGCTTTTCAATTTAATTTATTTTTTTCTCTCTCCTACTTTCAACCACATAATCTTCAAAAAAATAATATTACACTCAAATCGAAAACTTTTTAACTATACAATCTTCAAAAAAATACTATTTTTCTCATTATAAATTCAAATAATGGGGCCAAACGGGGGCTTACTTATGAGTAAAAATTTTAAGCTTAACCACATGTAAGACCAAACCTTTAAAATTTGCTTTGGTCGCCAACTCTAATATCGTCAGACCACAATTGCTAGATACCCAAATCGATCAAAGCCTAGGATCCAGTAACTTTTTAACATTTCAATACAACGCTCCGGCCAAACACGCTTTATGAAATGAAAAAGTGGCGACGTCTAATATCAGTTGTCGTTGAAATCTTCCCTCCCTGCACTCCACAGCTTCTATCTCTGTTTTTACGCTGTGGATCAAGAAAATAAATCATACTTAACCCCTATTTTCTATCTTTTAATCAAATTGAATTGCATTACTCCTCCACGTCTTCGGCGCCTTCAGGGCTTTGTTTTCTTGAAAATAGATTCAGAAAAAAGGAGAATATAGTGCGTTACAGCTGACTTTTTTTTTAGGTATCAATGTTTCTCTATCTGAACCTATCGTAACGTAAATCTTACAAATTGTATTGAATTTTATTGTGGGCAAATTCGATGAGTTTCTAGATATACCTTTTTCTTTTTTGGTTGGATTTTCCCTTTGGAATCGTTGTTGATTTTCTGCTCAGTTTTTTACTCTCTCACACGTTTTTTTCCCCGTATTTTTGGGTGGGTATTTTGTTAAATTCTCGTGTTTATAGCTATTTTGGGTAAAAAGCCGAAAGAGTTTATTTTTGCTCAATTCTAATCTGGGTTTGTGTTGGAATATGAGGATTTTGGATGATTATTGTCTAAACTTAGCATTTTTAGTCTATTGATTGAAAAGCCCAGAAATTATTTGCTGAATTCTCATCTGGGTTTCTCTAAAATCCCAGGTTTTACTGGGATATAATCCCGGCAGATTTTCTCCTTGAAAATCCTGGATTTTTCCTGGGTTAACTGTAATTTGGGGATCTCAAATTGATCATCCGTGCTTGAACATGGTGAATAATAGCAATAACAACAAGAATAATCAAGATGTCGGGGATAAGAATACATCAAGCATTTCTAGAGATATTAGTGGTGGAGGGGGAGCCACCAAATCATGGGTCACCACTGCGTCTGGTCAATCAGTGTCCACCAGTGGCAGCGTGGGTTCCCCGTCAAGCCGGAGTGAGGCTGCTGTGGCAACTCCTGCCAGTGACAGCACATTTCTCAGGCTTAACAATCTGGATATCCAAGGTGATGATGCCGGATCACAAGGGGCTATTGGGTGAGCCTTTTGGTCACTTCTTCTTTTCTTGCATTTTCATTTCTAGAAATTATTGATTTCTGTTTCTTTCCGTGGTGTTGATGTGAAATTAGTGTCATTATTAACGAGTAATATAAGAGGCTTATTGCTAATGTTAGAGTTATAACAAGTTATAGACCAATAATGATCTATGAGGTGACTATAGTAAAAGAAATATAAAAGTATCGTGGAATGAAAGATCGATAATGTGCGATATGTTTTGTGGGTAAATGAATTTATTGTTTCAGATGGAGCTCACTGGAGGTTCATTAAGGAGTTCCATACATAAGGGACAAATACTTGTGGAGATATGTTGTGTTGCAAAAGATGTGGTTTAATAGATTGATGGTACTCCATGTGACTTTGGTAATAAATCATTTGTGGAAAAAGAATTTTAATATGTTTTGGCTTTAATTAGGTAGTAAAACAAATAATTATTTTGATTATACCTGTGGGATGATTTTAAATGAGTTTATTGTTTATGTTTTGCACTTAAATATATTGCTTACGAAAAGTATGGTGCATTCTAATATGTTTCTATGACTCACAATAATAGGTTCTCTTGTGCTGGTGTCTTTATGTTTCCTTTTCTTTCCTTTCGTCGTGCTTCTAGTTGACTAATAATAAGTTCCAACAGTAACAAGAAGAAGAAAAGGGGTCAGCGTGCTGCTGGAGGGGATAAGACTGGTAGAGGGCTTCGTCAATTTAGTATGAAAGGTTTTTGTTTCTCATCTGTCCCTGTTTCTCTTGCTAAGAAGATGTGAACTTTTTAATTTCATTTTAGTACTTGAATGAGTTATAGATAAGAGTTGCATGATACATGATTAACTTTGCTGCTTTCTCTTGGGGATAGTGTGCGAAAAAGTGGAAAGCAAAGGAAGAACCACATACAACGAGGTCAGATGCTTATTAAATGTGTAATTTATTTCGCATCACGCTTTTCTTAAATTAGCATTTGTGTAATCTCTTTTGGCATGCAATATGTTTGGGAGCTTATGTTTTTGGAATGATGAGTTGGTCCTTCCATTCTGTTAACCTGTACTGATTAATTTGTGCTCTTTTATGACCGTCCTCTTGTTTTGCAAAATTTAAAATGTGGCATCTTCAACTTTGTTTGAAAAGTACTGGATTCTTTTGGTTTAATAAGACTATTCCAATTCCAAAGCTACTTGATTGGTTGCTAAAAATGCCTTTTTAAGTGTGATTAATACCTAAAGGGACATGATAGTTTCTTATTGAAAAGAAGTATGAATGTTTTGATTGGAGGAAGACATATGCATAGTTCACCGAAATTATCATTGCTTGTTTGTATTTCAATTGATACAACTTTATAACAATAACAATAATCATAATGATGGTAATGGTTCAATGGTAATGGTTTGCCATAGTGACTTTCTTCTGAGTATTGGAAACTGGTAATAATATTTGACCTATGTTCCTTGCATAAAAACCAAAATGGTCTATTCAGTTGCGGAATAACATGTCATTGTGGTCTATTTGATTGTAATTTAGTGTCTAAATCTAACAAATCAGTCTCTTCAGGTTGCAGATGAACTTGTTGCTGAATTTGCAGATCCTAACAATAATCTTGCCTCTCCGGACCAGGTTCTTTTCATTTGTCATTTCCAGATGCCATGTTTCTAGGGATTGTGAAACTTTTTTAAACTTGTAATTATGATTGTTAATATGTGGCAGCAACAATATGATGAGAAAAACATACGAAGAAGGGTTTATGATGCTCTAAATGTTCTGATGGCAATGGATATAATATCTAAAGATAAGAAGGAAATACAATGGAAAGGTTTACCACGGACTAGCTTGAATGACATTGAAGAACTAAAGGTTCGTATACATGTTTCTTACATTTACTTCCACTTGCATTTTCCTTTTATCTAGTGTTATATGACTATTTCAAGCAATGTAATTAAAGTTGTATGTAACTGACTGCAGAATGAGAGTCTTGGAATTAGAAATCGCATTGAGAAAAAAGCAGCATATTTGCAAGAACTCGAGGAACAAGTGAGAATCTTTGAGCAGTATGCTGTTAGCTTTTTTTCTTAATTAGAAAGAAGTTAATTTCTTGATATGCATCAAGGATAAGGGTATTAAAAATTAGTAATGTGTCTAACAATTTGTCTTTTCTTCCAATACTTGGTTGAAGTACGTAGGTCTTCAAAAACTTGTCCAACGTAATGAGCAACTATATGGCTCGGGAAATGCTCCTAATGGTGGTGTGGCTTTACCTTTTATATTGGTGCAGGTTCGTTTGTTAATAATTTCATTATCTTTTGAAGGACTTCCAAATAGATGATCCTTTTTTTTATGACCATGTTTAATATTTCTCCTCCTGATCACAAATGAGACTTGCATTCTCACATTGGTTGGCAGTCTAGCCTACAGTTAGATTTGGAAATTCGTGATGTATAAAATTCGTGAAAGCATATCAAACAAGTCTAATGCTCTCGAACCCTTTGCCACAAGAAGGCTTAAAAATTAAATTTACATGTTCAGTGTAATACTCTCTTCATCCATTTAGTCGTTCAGAATAATTCCATTCTTCGATCAGTATGAATTCCAAATTTGCCAGTCAACAGGGGTAAAAACCACAATGAAGAGAATACACCAAAGCCCAAAAACCGCCAATAATCTCCAGGTAATCGAAAAGAAAATTTAAAAAAAATAAAAATAAAAACTCAAATTCAACTTCAGTTCATCCACAATCACCACACCATCCGAACCACATCACCCCTAAAAACATTACCAGATTAAAAAATAAGGAAATATCCGCACACACAATTCCAAAGTTGAGTTATGATATCTCGACAGATACTCCATCTGAAGCTAAACAAATTTGATACTGAGAAGTTCTATTCTTCATTTGTCAAGTTGATCACCATTTTCCATCTTATATTTTCATATTATCAGAAGAGTTTTAGGAACAGATCTTCTGGTGTAATGTTGGAGACAATGGTGGTTTGAAAGTTCCGGATGTTGCTTCAGTGTTCCAGAATTGCATTGAATTCATTGTCATGCTTCTGATTGATTTTCTCTTTGGAAATTGTAGACTCGTCCTCATGCAACTGTCGAGGTGGAAATATCAGAAGATATGCAGCTGGTGCATTTTGATTTCAATAGGTAAGGGAATCACTCAAGCAAAAAACCACTTTTAATTGTTCAATATAAGAATGTTTGGTAGAGCTTAAAAATAAGCAACAGTTATGGTGTTTCAAAACATTTTTGGAGAAGTAACTATTCTCTTTTAATAAGAAAAGAAAAGTAACTTCTCCCTTGCTGAGTTGCTGTTAATTTTTCTCAATATTAAAAAAAAAATAAAAAAAAATTATTATCTTAGAACTTATTAGAAGTCTAAAAATTTTAAACTTGGCAACATTTTGTGTACTCCATAAATGATAGTTTTAAATCCACTACATTCTTAGATGACTAACACGATCATGTCATTTATTACATTGAAAGGAAGATGAGGAAGCAATGCTTGCTTATGATAGCCAACAGAGCTTAAAAAAAAATACTTTCATGCTGTAT